CCCGCCCGCGCCGCCGGGCTCCCGGCCACGGATCCCGGGGGAGTAGAGCAAGGCCCACGTTGCCCACAAGACCTCGGTGCCGGATCCTTCCCGTTACTCTGGTAGAGATCCCGCAGGGACTCGGATCCGTAGCCAGGGCCCCGTCCGGGTGCTTTCCTGCCGCGCTTGGCTCCAAGCGGGTGCCGGACCCGACGCCGCTTGCCGGGGCTGAGGACGTGTCACCGCTGTCTCTGACCTCCTCGTGCTTTGGGTTTCCTTTCAGATCGATGACATCGCGGACGGCGCCGTGAAACCCCCCCCGAACAAGTACCCCATCTTCTTCTTCGGCACCCACGAGACGTAAGCGCTGCCTCGCTCCCCCCGCCGGGCTCTGCCTCCGCTCCGGCCTCACCTCTGCTTTGTCTCTCTCCAGCGCCTTCTTGGGCCCTAAAGATCTGTTCCCTTACGAAAAATATAAAGACAAATATGGGAAACCAAACAAGAGAAAAGGCTTCAACGAGGGCTTGTGGGAAATCCAGAACAACCCCCACGCCAGTTACAGTGCCCCTGCGGTGAGTGTGGGCTGGGCAGGGCATGGGGCCGTGGCCCCTCCGCGCCCCCGAGTCGCTCCTCCTGTCTCTGCTTCTCCTCGCTGCCGTGCCGATTGCTTCCAGCTTCCAGCTTGGCTTCCTTGGGGTGGAATTAGCTCCCCTCTCCTTCCCTGCCCTCTCCCTTCCTCAGGGAGCCTGCTCTGCTCATCTTCCTCCATGGAGGGGTTTTCCTTGGGCTTCCAGGAGCGCTGGAAGTTCCCGCTTGCTCTGGAGGAAGATGCTTCTGCCCCGTTGTCGCGGTGGAACCAGGGTCGTGCTTTGTGCTGCTTGCCCAAAATCATGGAGGTTTTGTTGTCAGAGCAAGAACTTGAGGCTTGCTTGTCCCTGGCTCCTGGATCTGCTCGTGGACTGTTGGGAAGTCCCCTTCTCCATCCATTCCCGAGGTTCCTGAGCCCTCCAGCTGGATTTGGAGCAGGCCGGGCCAGGGAACAGCTCTTTGTCAGCTGCTTGTGGGGGCACCTGATGACCACGATTGGGATCCAATTCATTCTGTAAATCACATCATATCATCACAGGAGGCGCTGGCTTCGTAGGCAGTGGGGCTGAAGAGGCAGAGGAAGGTCTGCAGGGTGAGCAGCAAGGTGGAGGTGGTCCCTGGAGGTCAGCAGGAGCAGGCAGTGAGTCCCCCAGGCCAGGAGTGAGGATGTGGTTTGAGGGGCAGGGGTTGGGAAATCGCCCACCCAAAACTGTGGATGTGGGGCGAGCTGAGGCTGTGGAGGTGCTTGAAAACCTGGAGATTGGTGGTGGTGAAGGAGGCAGCACCTGCCACGGGCAGGAATCTGCTGGGAACTCCCCTCAGGGATGAGGGCTCACCAACATCCTGTGGATGAAAGGAGCAGGAGAAGACACAGAAGTTTCCTTGGCTTTGAGACCTGGGTGAAGAGAGGTGCCAGGAGCAGCCGAGGGTGAGGAGAGGCTTTCCAGCAGCTGGAAGAACCCCGGCTCTGGGAATGTCAGTGCTGCCACACACAGAGGAGCAGCCCAGAAGATGAAGTTGGGGCGTGTGATGTCCCTGTGTGAGGAACCTCCCGATGGGCTGCAGAAACAAGGAGACCTTCAGGGAGCAGGACACAGGAGATCCCAGCTGGGAAGAGCACCGTGGCCACCCAGACTCCTTGTGTGGACCTTCACCATGGGGAAGGTGTGCGAAGAGGACGTGAAGAGCCTGATCCAAGTGGAGGCAGAAGGAGAGGCTGAACCCAGCCACCCCGGCTTGTCTGGCGCCGTCAGGGCAGAGGAGGGCTGGGCTCCGCTCCAGGCTGCTGCAGGGGTTTTGGCAGGGTGTGAGGATGGGGGGCAGAGGGCAGCGAGGCAGCAGCACCCCGGGAGTGTGTCGGGGGTGCTCTCGGAGCCGCGTGTCAGGGGCTGTGGGAAGGGCTGCAGCGTTGTCCGGAGCTGCTCCGGAGGGATCCGTGCTGGGAGGGGAGGCTGCTCTGCCCTGCACTGCTCTGCACTGCTCTGCACACCCAGCTCCCCACCCTTGGTGCCCCCTCTCCCTCCTCTCCTGCCCCCCAGTGCCCCCCAGGTCCCCCTGACCCCGCTGTCCTCCCGCTGCCTTTAGCCCGCCAGCTCCTCCGACAGCGACGTCCCCGAGAACGACCCCATGGCGGGGAGCGACGCCGGGGACGACGAGGACGACTCTGCCATGGCCACCATGCCCACGGAGAAGGTGGACAGCGATGAGGACTCGGATCGAGGCAGCGACCACAGCGGGCTCAAGAGGAAATCCTTGGCCATGAAAGTGAGTGAAGGGCTGGGGACAGGAGGGTGGCCCAGCCAGGGGACACTGTGGGTCCATCACAGAGCTTTCCTTGAAGCCACCTCAGCAGAAGGTGCTGGAGAAAACAACTCCCTTTGGATTCTCCAGAGGGAAATGAGGCTCAGTGTGATTTTGGGGGTCTCACAGCTGTCTCATGGTGCCGGTGGGGTGGTGGGGTGGTCAGTCCTGGTGGGGTTAGCAGCCTGGAGGAGGATCCAGAGCTGCAGATCTGAGTGCAGCTCTTGCAGGTTGGGAAGAGTTGGAGAAAGCAACCCCATGGTTGCTTTCCATGGGGGGTGGAGAAGGAATGGGCTTCTCTGATCTTGTCACCTCTCTTTTGTCAGATGCCTGTGACAAAACGGCCTCGGAAATCCTCCAGTGACTTGGATCAGGGCAGCCCCTCTGTCACAGAAGAGGAGAACTCAGAAACATCTTCCGAGTCGGAAAAAAACAGTGACCAGGTGAGAGGATTTGGGGGTTCACTGGCAGGGTGGTGGGAAGAGCATCCCTGTGGGAGTGAGGCAGAGGCTGGAGGGAAGCTGGCTGGTGTGATACCGTGGTGACACTGTTCCACATCTCCTCATATTTTCGTTTTTCTCCAGGATTTCACTCCTGAAAAGAAGCCAGTGGCCCGGGCTCCCCGGAGGATGCCGGCAGCGGGGAGGAAGAAGAAGGTAAAGGGCCCCTAATGAGGGAGGCTGGAGAGGAGTCGGGGTCTGGGCTGTGGGGAGGGGGGAGCTGGGGGTGACAGGGCTGTGCCCTGGGCCGGAGCACCTGGAGCTCGCCGATCTCTTGGTGAGCTGCTGGGGCTCGGGATGCAGGACACTGCTGGCTTTGGGGGGATGGCTGGGATTGGGGCAGTGCCATCCCACAGCCAGCTCCCATCCCAGCCCCGCTCTGCCTGCAGAAAATGGAGTCTGGCTCTGACTCCGACTCCAAAGTGGACTCGGATCTGGAGATGGGCAATGCCACCGTGGACATGACCAAGTCGGACTCGGACTCGGACTCGGACGTGTCGGTGAAAAAGGCACCACGGGGCCGCAAGCCAGGTACCCCCAGGGCTGCTCCTGCTTCCCCAAGCCTCTGGGGTCCCATCCCGAACTGTGGGCACATTCCAGAACCTCTCTGCCTCCACGAGCCGGGGCTGTTTCAACAGAGGCACCTCCAGGGCTCCTGCAGAACATGTCCCTGTTGTCTTGCAGCTGAGAAACCCCCTCCCAAGCCCCGGGGCAGGAAACCCAAGCCTGAGCGAGTCCCCAGCAGCTCCAGCAGCGACAGGTGAGCTCAGCTGGGCCACTGGGACACTGTCACCCTCGGGCTGGGCTGGGGGTCCCACAGGGGTGCGAGCCTGCCCTGTCCTGGCAGTGACAGCGACAGCGACGTGGATCGCATCAGCGAGTGGAAGCGGCGGGACGAGGAGCGGCGGCGGGAGCTGGAGGAGAAGAGGAAGAGGGAGCAGGAGGAGGAGATCCGGCGGCTCCGGGAGCAGGAGAAGGAGGAGAAGGAGAAAAGGAAGGAGAAGGCAGAGAAGGGCGAGGAGGTGCACTCGGACTCGGACAGCAGCGCCGAGGATGAAACGGCCAAAAAGGGCCGGAGGGGCCGGGCCAAGGCTCCGTCCTCCTCAGACTCCGAGCTGGAGCAGGAGAAGGAGGTGAGTGTGGAGCCGTGGGGGCCTGGGGGTGGATGGACAGCCTGTCACCTCCCTGTCAGGCCATCAGGGACCTCCAGGAGGGGCAGGGACCTGCTCTCGTGCTCCTGGGTTACCCTGCAGCCGCCCAGATGGTGTTGGGAAGGGTTGTGTCCATGGCAATTCCATGCCTTGGAGTGGGAGCTCTTCCCCTGGCCCAGGATGCATCATCCAGCTGTGGCCTCACATCTGGCACAGGTGGCCAGAGCAGCTGTGGCTGCTCCATCCCGGGCTGGATGGGGCTGGAGCAGCCTGGGACAGTGGAAGGTGTCCCTGCCATGGCAGGGGTGGGACGGGATGAGCTTTATATTCCCTTCCAACCCAAACCATTCCCTGATCTCCAGGGTGCTCTTCCAGCACGGTCACGGGGTTCGCTCCACTGTCCCCCTGGAGCCTTTGGGAGCCTGTAGGGTGACCGTGTGCTGTGGGGTGAGCACAGGCTCTGCTGTGGGGTGCCTGGGGTGTCCCTGGGCCGTGGGGTGGCCATGGGGACGTTGTGGCGTGGCCGTGGCTCTGCAGCAAGGAGGGCTCTGCCGCTCTCCCTGCATTGTTCTCTCCTCCAAGGTAAAGAAGCCGGTGAAGAAGCAGCCCTCGGAGTTGTCAAGGAAACCAAATCAGAAGGAGAAGAGGGGCCGAGCAGAGGAGAAGCCACGGAACAAGTCAGCATCTCCACATCTCCCTCCCCTTTCCTCCTGGGAACGGGGCCGTTCTGCACGGCCCCAGCGCCCCGGGGTGGGGATGGGGCTCATGGGGCTGCTGCTCCTGCACAGGGGCTGGGCCTGTTCCTCCCCTCCTGCCGAGCTGAAGGGGCTGCAGGAGCTGCTGGGGGTTTCCAGGATGAGGTTCTGTGGTGTTTTATTTCTCGTGGGGCTTTTCCTGTCTGCATTCCTGGGAAGCTGGGGCACAGGGGAGCTGTGATCAGGGTGGAGGGGCCTCGGGTGCTGCAGGCAGTGCCATCCCCTTGTTAGCCCAGTGGTGAGCAGGGTGTTCACCACAGCCACCTTCCCTTTTTCCTTCCCTGCCCACAGACCTCTGAAAGTGGAACGAGGCCGGAAGAAATCCGACCCAATCCCCGAAAGGAGGATGGAGAAGAAAAAGGGTGAGAGAGCCACTGCTTCCCATCACAGAGGGGAGGAGAGGGAGGGGAGGGCTCCAGGGTCGGTTCCCCCATCCCTGGGACAGGGAGGGATCAGGGAGTTTGTGCCAGGCTTTTTCCCAGCACTGCTGTGATCCCAGGATCACTTCCCTGATGTCCCCTCCCGATCTTGGCACACCCCAGCCCCTGAGACATGTCCCAGAGACATTCCTGGGGCCGTGCTGAACTTTGCAAGTGCAGGAGGACACAAACCCCTGCCTGGGAGTGATTCCAGGCCCCAGAGCGGATCCTGAGCTCTGTGTGCCCTGAACCTCTGCCTGTGTCTGCTCCAGAGCCCACAGTGGAAGAGAAGCTCCAGAAACTTCACAGCGAGATCAAGTTTGCGCTGAAGGTGGATAACCCGGTGAGTGCCTGGCCTGGGACATCCCTGCTGTGATACCCGGGGCGGCTCCTCCTCCTCCTCCTCCTCCCTCTGGGGGTGCTGGGAGGCCCCAGGTGCCCCCCAGGCAGCTCCTGATCCCGGTGCCATCCGTGCAGGACATCAAGCGCTGTCTGAACGCGCTCGAGGAGCTGGGCACGCTCCAGGTCACTTCCCACATCCTCCAGAAGCACACGGACGTGGTGGCCACGCTCAAGAAGGTAGAGCAGAGGGCTGAGCCCTCCTGGGGCGAGTGGGGGGCCTGCCCCAGCCTCAGGGGCTCTAAGGGGGTCCCTCCTCCCGCTCCCCGGGGCAGATCCGTCGCTACAAAGCCAACAAGGACGTGATGGAGAAAGCAGCTGAAGTCTACACCCGGTTGAAGTCGCGTGTGCTGGGCCCAAAGATGGAATCCATCCAGAAAGGCAACAAAGCCGGGCCCGAGAAGGACAAGGGTGAGGTGGAGAAGGGCCAGGAGAAGCTGTCGGGAGCGGAGACACGGAATGAGAAGGGGGAAGAGGAGACAAATGCTGGTAACATTCCTCAGCATCCTGAACATTCCCTGCCCTGTGTGGGCAGGTCACAGCCTCCTCCCTGGGGTGTGACCCATCCTGCTGGGGACAGGGACACGGGGAGGTGGCTTTGGCCTGGTGGGGAGGGGATCAGCACCTCCAGGCCAGTGCCAGGAGCAGGAAAGGGCGGGATGGGGAATGCAGTGAGGGCACAGGGCAAACCTCCAGCCCCACGCCCGTGCTCTGGGGGCCCCCACGCTGCGTTTTGGCCCAGGAGCAGCTCCTCCCTGCCAGCCTGAGCTCTGCTCCAGCCATGAAGGAATGTGGAGATGTCCTTGGACACTGGCTCAGGCTCTTGCACAGGCACTGGTGACTGGGACCTTCCACCCTCAGAGCTGGGTCTCTGCCTGGGGCTGTCCTGGTGCTGCTGCAAGAGCCTTCCCTGAGGAACTGATGGGGAAAATCCACCCTGACAGTGCCTCTGGGCTGGGGGATGGAGGTTTTGGGGACCTTCTTGCAGCTGTGGGGATCAGGCCAGTCCTGGGGTCCCCTCGGGCTCGGCTGCATGTCCAGGGACAGCCTGTGGCCGTGGATCCTCAGCCACGAGGGTTGGGATGGGCGAGGGGATCCGAGAGCCTGAGCCTGCCTCTCTTCCCTCCAGACCTGTCAGGTCCTGTGAATGGTGAATCCCAAAAGTCAGAGGGCACAGAGGAGAAGGACAAGAGCCAAGGGCCAGGAGCTGGGGAGCTGGAGGCGTCCACAGAGGAGCCCCACAACAAGTGAGTGTGAGGGGCAGGGCTGAGGTCGCTGGGCTCGGCAGGGATGGTTTGGGGACATCCTGTGGGTTGTGAGGGTTCTCCCAGCTTGGGAAGGAGCTGGGACGTGGCAGAGGGGCAGGGCCTGAGCTCTCCCTGCCCCTGCTCTCCCCCAGCAGTGTCCAGGACTATCCCAAGGCCGGGCTGGAGCGAGCTCGCGGGGAGTCGGAGGCTGCGGACGAGGAGGAGGAGGAGGAGGAGGAGGAGAGCTGAGGAAGCAGCTCCCACCTGGAGGAGGAGGAGAGGCTGTGAAGGGAGAGCAGCCTCTGCCTCATCCCCTGCCTGAGTCACTTCATTAAGTCCCACCGTAGCCGATGTCCTTGGTCTTGTCCCGTGTCCCGTCCCTGCGGAGGCAGCACCCGCGGGGGGGCTGTGCTGGTGTCTGTATTTGTCCCTTCCCTTTGTTTTTAATTTTTTGTTCTGGTTTTTTTTTTTTTTCCCCCTCCTACCTAATTTCTTGTGATTTCAACCGACATGAAATGAATATAAAGGGTTTTCTAATGAAAAACAGAAGGAACCCCAGTGTCTCTTTCTTGAGGCATCTCTGGCTGGGACGAGGGTCAGGGCTGGAAAGCACCCCATGGCTCCCCAGTTTCCCTCTGGCCAGGATCGGGCACTCAGGAGCTGCTCCAAGCCCCTTTCCTCACCATCACGATCCTCCCTCCATCCCGAGGCAGCTGCCGGAGCCGGACCCTCGGCCCCAGGGGTGGCAGCAGGGCTGGGCACCAACTTTTTGGGGTGAAACCAGGGTCCAAAGGGTGTGTTCTGTGCTCAGTGTGCCGGGGGGGGGACTGACCCTGGCAGCATCCTGCCCGTGCTGGGCAGCAGCTCCGTGTTGGTCTCTCTGCTCTTTTGTCCGTGTCCAATAAAGAATTCCCGGCTCCACCCGGCGCCGCCTCCTCTTTGTGCCCCGACCCCCGACCCCCCTGCAGTAACTCTGCCCTGGGGACACTTCGCTCCTTGTTCCGGGACTGCTCTCGCTCTCCTCCCTAAACAGGACCCAAACAAAGCCCAAAACTTCCCGAGTGCCTCTTGCCCAACTGCTGGGAAGCGAGAGGCTCCGTCCAGGACCCCGCTCTGATCCCAGCGCCAGGGCCTCCCCTCCCGGGGGCAGGGACAGGCTGGGGGGCCTGCCGGGGGAAG